CCACCAGGTAGACAGTGGTGACTGCTTTTGATTTAATGAGTGAACTCCACCCCACTTCCCAATGAACTGAACAAAGAGAGTAATTTGGTCAAATATCGAGCCTGTTCTTTCAGACCTCATGCACTATAGGGAGGCATTTGGTTTGCACACCCTCCCCAGGGCCTGACACGGCAGGGTAGAGGGCAGGGGTGGTGGGGACAACATCTGATTAGTTTAAAAAGATGGTTCCAGATAGATGCTCATGGAAAGGTCAGAAGTTCCAGTCCACCCAGAGGTACCTTGGAAGAAAAATCTGGCAATCTAGGGCCCCAAAAGTCCACCACTGAAAACCCCAGGAAGCCCAGTTCTCCTGTGACACACACAGGGTCACCCTGAGTCGGGGTGGCCTCCAATGGCAGCTGGTTTGAAGGAGGTGCTGATGGGAACTGCTGATGACGTGAGACAACTTGGACAGATGCTGACAGTCTTTGCTGGCAGCAAACAGGCCACAGGAGAACATGGTTGGGAGGGCGGATTCACGAGCTGGTCACCCACCACCCCGGCTGCTCCTGCCCCAGCCTTCCTCTGCTCTGCGAACCCACGACTACTGCTCCTATCGTCAGGCTTTTGCACTGTCTGTTGTTACTGTGTTATTATTGTTGTTAGGTGCTGTTGAGTCGAGCATGACTCATAGAGACCTTATGAACAACAGATCTGAACCCTCAAGGACACTCAAGCCCATTGCTGCAGTCACTGTGTCAATTCACCTGGTTGAAGGTCTTCCTTTCTTTCACTGAACCTCCACCTTTCCAAGCATGATGTCCCTCTCCAAGGAATAACCTCTCCTAGCAACATACCCAGAGTATGAGAGACAAAGCTTTATCATCTTTGCCTCCAAGAGCACTCTGGCTTCACTCTCTCCAAGACAGATCTGTTCTTTTGACAGTCCATGGAATATTCAGTACTCTCCTCCAACATCACACTTCAAAGGAATCAATTCTTCCTTCATCCTTATTCACAGTCCAGCTCTTAGATACACAGCAAGTGACTGAAAAGACCATGGCCTGAATCAGGTGCACCTTAGTCCTCAAACTGACATCACTGCTCCTCAGCAATTTGGAGCAATCCCTGATTACAGACTTTTCCGGTGCAATATGCCTCCTGATCTCCTGACTGCTGGTACCACGTGTATTGCTAGCTGCTGTCAAGTCAGCCACCAGCTCACAGTGACCCCATGCACAGCAGTAAGAAACACTGCCCAGCCCTGTACCATTCCCAAGATGAGCTGCATACTGGATCACTGCGATCCACAAGATTTTCAGAAGTAGATCATCAGGCCTTTCTTCCTACTCAATTTTAGCCTGGAAGTTCCATCAGAACCTATTCAGCATCCTAGTAATACAGAAGCTTCCGCTGTGGGGGCGGGGGGCTGGCTGCACGTGAGGCTCACAGGCCAATACCTGCCCGAGTCCCTCACCTGGAAGGTAAGACTTGCACCACTGGCCCTAGCCGTCGGTCTCACACTCACTCAGGGCAATCAGGTCAATTCTGACTCATTGCTGACCCTCTACTGGGTTTCTGAGGCTGTAAATCATAATGGGGGAGACTGTCTTTACCCCTCAGAGGGATTCAAACCACTAGAGAACCTTGACTTTGAGTTAGCAGCACAATTTGTTATCAGAAGGGATTCTCATGGCCTAGTGAGTAAAGAGTTGCACTGCTGCTCCAATAGTGGGTGGTTCAAAACCACCAGCTGCTCCACAGAAGAAAAATGGGCATCTCCTCTCTTACAATTTGTTGTTGTTGTTGATTGTCGTCGAGTCAAGCACAACTCATAGCGACCCTATGAACAGAAGGCCTGAAGCCTTTCTATAACTATTGACATTTATCAAAGTTCATAGTTTCCAGAGGCAAGTTGTTTAGGAAGGGGATGCCACTCCTGCTTCCAAATTTACAGCCTTTGAAAACCTGCTGGTGGGCGAGGTACGAGTCGGTTTTGAATCAACAGCACATGGCAACATGCCGCCAGAGTACCTCATAGTCTTTAATAATCTGAAACAATTACCCAGTCCTCCGGGGACTTCAAGTGCAGTTATTTTGTAGACTGTCCCTCGGTCTGGGTGTGTCCGATGTTCCCTTGGGATCCGGTGCATGTGGGACACTGCTAGCAGGAAGACTTGGAAGATGCCATGTCCTGCCCTGTGCACCCAAAGCCATGCTGTCCGCCGTGGGGATGCTGAGTGCTTCCCGCTCAAGGTCGGCCTGCCCACTCTCTCATTCTGAGTGCCTTACCCTCCTGTATGAGATGTGCTACTTTGAAAGCGTGTGAACTGATATCTCATTCCCTGACAACCTTTCACCCAGGAGTTTAGCATCAGCCATTGATTGCTTCCAGAACGCATTACGACTACAGCAGCTGCAATCACCTCTTAAATGGATTCTCATCCTTTGGCCTCGCCCTACTGTAGCTCATACTCAACATTTCTTTTGTTCTTATGAAATTCCCAAGGCACAGGTCTGAGTATACCGCTCACCTCCTCAGACACCTTCCGTAACTCCTTACTACTCAGAGAAGAAATCTCAGCTTTGTGGCTAGGCTTCTCGAGACTCAGTATGATCTGATTCTCCTGTAAACACTCATCTACGGTCAAGCTCGACCTGCCAGCCTCTCCCTGATCCACACTTCTGGGCCTTTGCCCAGGCTGTTTCTCCAGCCAGAATGCCATCCTTTGCCCACAAACACTCTCCTCTGTGGCTGTGCCCTGCACAGAGGAGACCTCTTTCTTCTCCTGTCCCCTCTAATTGCTTCACTCACAGCGTGGTACGTCTGTCTCTGCTTCCCCTTCGTCCAGGGCAGCTGTTCACTATCTCATGTCTGCTTTACCAGAACAGTACTTGAGTTCCTAATTCCTTACACCATCAGCTTGGTTTTCTGATCAGATGAGTTTTCTGGGGTGAGAACCCAATCCGATTGCTCCTGACCCCCTACGTGTCCAAAACAGGGTCCACGCACATTCAGTGCCTGCACTGAAGGTTCACCAGTAAGCAGCATCATCGATAAGCAGAGACAAGACTGGATCTGCCAGGGATGTCAGTTTACCTGGGTCCACAGTCAGCACCCATGGAAATAGCGAAATTTCAAAAATGTGGGCAACCAATGAAGAAGTTTATCTTTTGCTTTTCAAAGAGAGGAGCAAACTGGGGGGAGGAGGGTAAAGAAAAAAGTGCAATAATGAATGAAAATCCAAAATCTCTGTAAATATTCATTAAAATTAATAAAATAAAATTTAAAAAATGTGGGCAAACATACAAAATCTCTATGTAAAGTAGGAAAAAACAAAGACGCCAATCTTGAAGCCAAAGATGGGCCAGACTCAAGCCATATTTCCAAATACTTCATAAGGCGTGTCAAAATTGGACAATGAATAAGAAAGACTGAAGAAAAAAAAAGGGATGTTTCTGGATTATGGTGTTGGCAACAAATACTGAATATGACTGCCAGGAGAACAAATAAATCTTTGAAGAAAGAAATACAGCCAGAAAGTTCCTCATAATTGAGACGGTGAGACTCTGTCATTCAGACACATTATCAAAAAGGAATCAGACGCTCACGCTTGGTAGAAAGTGAGGGAAAAAAGAAGCAAGCCGCCGGAAGATGGCCTGGCACTGTGGCTGCAGCAATGAGCTCACACATGGCAGCCAGCGAAAGGGTGGCATGGGCCAGGCAGCATTTCCCAGCTGTACACAGGGTCACTGTGAATCAGAATGAACAGCGGCTAACAACAGTGCTCATGTGCTTGACAGCTGAATGCCAAAGGCATCATGGGAAGTCTAGTAGAGTTAGGGCTGGATGCCCCAGCCTGTTGATGCTGAAGACACAGACCGGGAGGCCGCACAGAGCACCCAGGAACTGGGAGACCAAGCCTGGACTCGCAGCATGCTGGGCCCATGTGCCGGCGGGCTGCTCACCAGCTGTCATGAGCCTCTGTGGGCTTATCCTGACCAGCAGCTTTTCCTCATCCCCAGGTACATCACTCTGATTTTCTTTAGGAGGGTCCCCTTTCCGACACTTTCAAGTCATGAGGTTTGTACAGGGCCTGATCCCATTTCCCTCACCAAGTTGGACATGTGAACCCTGAACAGCAAGTGAGAACCATTCCTGGGTCATTGGCTGCAACTCCCAGGAAGATGGTACGGGAGTAGAGAGGGAGGAAAGGGCAGTCTGATGCTGCTGGTGGCCTCTCCGTGATAGAGAGGGAAGTTAACCTGAAGGAAGCAAAGATTTCTGATGCCATTGGGACACATAGATTCAGCCACATCTGAAGCCAGTGCCCATTATGAGAGGGTATTGCGATGGGAAAGTCTGCTATTAGAGACCTCTCCAAAGTACTGAAGAGCAGTCACTCTGGAGACTAAGGTGAGACTGACAGAGTTTATGGTCTTTGCGATCACTTGCTATGCATCAGAGAGTTGGACAATGACTAGGGATGATAGAAGGAGAACTGATGCCTTTGAGCTGTGGTGCTGGAGAAGAGTATTGACTATACTGTGGACTGCTAAGAAAACGAACAGGTTTGTCCCAGAGGGTGAAGCAGGGCTGCTCCTTGGAGGCAAGGATTCTGAATCTTCGTCTGACATACTTTGGACATGTTGCAAGGAGGGACCAGTCCTTAGAGAGGGACGTCATGCTTGGTAGGGTGGAGGGACGGCACAGGAGAGGAAGGCCCTCTATGAGATGGATTAATTCAGTGACCGGGGTAATGGGGGTACGTGTGTCGGCTAGACGTGCACAGGACAGAGCATACATAGGGTTGCTATGAATCACAGGCGACTCGATGGCACATAACAACAACAGCATACTTAAGTAGGATAAGAAGGCATATGTGGGCGCCCCATTAGTATGTAGGTACGTTTACTGTTATCAAGATGTAAGTTATGCCCTGAGGCCCAGATGGCCAGCAATGTGGCTGACTGAGCCCAGGCTACCACCACATCCAGCTGGGCCTGGATCAAGGACTCACCTTCCTTCTTCGGGCTGGCAGAGTCGCCCCCCACAGGAGGCCTGGTGACAGATGGGGCCCTTCGGCCGCTGTCAGCCCTCGGCCCCTCCGGGGACCTCCTGGGGATCATCACGAGGAGCTCGTCTGAGCAGGAGGCTCCCTCCTCTCTCTCGACAGTGTCCCAGTCCTGCCAGGGGAGGGAAGCAGGGCGTGTGTTTGCGGATGAAGAAGGCAGGCCCCAGGGTCGCTGGAGCAAAAGGAATCAACACTTAAAGGGCGCCTGCTGTATGCTCACCACTGATGCAGGTTTCTTTCTTTTTTTTTTTTCTTCCCGATCTAGTCTCGACTTTATACTGATGCAGGTTTCAACCCACCAAATGTGCAATCAATCCTGTCACTTGTGTCCAAGTGAAGAATCTGCCCAAGTGACAACCCAGGAAGGGACAAATTTCAGGGAGACTGGAGCCCCGGTCAGTCTGATTCCACCCAGTAGGAAGGACTAGGCCTAGGAGCCCCCCAGAGATACCCCCAGGGTCCAGAGGTTCAGACCTCTGTCCACCATCACCGTCCGGATGTGTGGCTTCGGGTAGTTAAGTGGCTTTTCCTCTCTAAGTCTGTTATCTTACACTAATGGGACCATCACAGCCTTGAGCTCAGAGGTGGCGATGAGCCTCCCACAAGCCCACACTGTCACACACTTGGCATTGAGCTGATTGAATAGAGGACACGGGGCTGGGCCATCTGGTTCTGGATCTGCTTATATTCATCACGTCCCCTGGGGGGATCTCATGGACAGCCCTTTCCAGGGGTGAATGCCCACACGCAGGACCCCTGAGTCTTCTCTCTGCCATCTAAGTGGCCCTTCAGCTCTTGCCAGGCACCCCCAGGCTGTTCCTTTGCCTCTGATTCTTGACGTCCATTCCAGGGCTGGCTGTGGGTTCAATGGTGTGTGAGCAAGGCGGGGCCCATGGGCCCAGCACCTTCCCCCCAATCCCAGTCTTGCGACCTGAGGGGTTTTGGCAGACGAACCTGCAGTGATTCACCCAGACCTCCTGCCACTGGGACCCCTTCACTGCCTTTCACAGCCAGGTCCTCACCCGCCCCGCGCTGGCCAGGCAGAGCCCCCTGGCCTCCCAGGGGCAAGCAGTCTGTGCGCTGTCAGAGTCTCCAGAAGACCTCAGTCCAGTTCCCTGTCGTGAGAGGCTGAGCTGGGCCTTCTCTGACAATCTGGTGAGACCCTAGGGCTGGGGACAGAGGGGTGACTTGTTCTTGTCCCCTGCTTCTCACCACAGAGGACGAGCTGCTGGTCTCATCAGGGGTGTCACCGTCAGGACCGGAGCTGGTGCCAGAGCTGGGGTCCTCGTCACAGCTGCCACTCGGGGAAGAGGTCAGACATCCCACGAAGGGCTCTGCCTGGGCCTCCGCGCTACTGCTCCTGGGGTCAGCTGGGAGCCCCTCTTCACAGAGCCCTGACTGTGGGCCCCTGCGAGAGGAGACACACAGACCCAGGACTTTTTCCCCAGAAAGGATGAAGGAGTGATTTCCCCAATCCAGACACACATACACTCACAAGGGGCCAGGAGTCTAGGACAGAGTCAGTGCTAATCATCATTTCCCACAGTCTCCCGCACACACACACACACAGCCCACTGCTGGCCTCAACTCTAGTTCCCAGCGAGTCTAGAGGACAGCCTAGAACGGCCCTGGCTTCCCAGGAAGCTCTGGTGGCCTAGTGGTAAGAAGCCACTTTAAGCACTGCCGACCCAAAGGCACACAGTTCGAAGCTTCTCAGCAGGAGAAAGACGGGCCATCTCCTGCCGTGTGATTTCCTGCCTCTGAAAACCTGCTGGAGAGCCAGCTAGGGGTCAGTTCCAACTCACCAGTACACAACAACAACAAGGAGGCTGTAAATCTTTATGGAAACAGGCCACCACGGAACCAGTGGTGAGTGCAAACTGACAACGTTTTGGTCAGTAGCTGTCAAATACTTTAACCACCGCACTAGTAGGGTGCTTCCTCAGTGCGTGTAATGACCTCCATTTTACAGATGAAGAAACCGAGACTCTGAGAGTTCTGGAAGATGGGCCAAGATCACAAAGCGGGGAGGCGGCAGCACCGGGTTGTAAACCAGGAACAGGCACTGGAGTCCTGGCCAATGTCGATGTCACCAGAGCTGGCGTGGGATAGTCAAGCTCAGGACGCCAACTACACAGAACTGTTCTGGGCCAAGACGGGCTCCAGGGGGCGGTGACAGGACCACCAGCCTGAAGGCCCAGGTGGGGGCCAAAGATAAAGCCAGCTGGCTTCTAGGTTCAGAGCTGACAATGTCCCTGTGTGGCCACAGAAGAGGGGAATGGCCGAAGACCACAATGAGTTCTGTAGTCAAACGACTTCGGGACACATGGCTCACTTCCCTAATCTCCACCCACAATGCATACTTGCCGAGTCAAAGCTCTGACAAGGCCTGATACTCAACTCTGCTCATCCTGAACTCTCGGCAACATATTTGATGATGGGGACCTTTTTCTTTCTGGTCTGTTTATCAGTGAGGAACACACGTTCCCCAAGAAATGCTGATTTAAAGGGAGCTCTGGTGGCCTAGTGGCAAGAAGCTACACTGCAATCCCAGATGTGCCTGGTTCGAATCCACCAGAGGCTCTGCTGGAGAAGGAGGGACAATCTCGTCCTGTACCAGTCAGATCTGATTTGACAGTACAATGCACAAAAAATAATAAAAATAAAAATAAAAAAAGAAATGCTGATTTGATTCAGCCCCTTATGTTGCAAAACTGGGCACAGGGATTAAATACACCCAAAGTCCTTTAGTCCATCAGGATGGAGTTGAAGCTGGAACGTGAATTTCTAGACCTCACGGTCACACTCTCCTAAGGTCCCACGGACCTAAAAGAGGACTGCAGTTGAGCTCAGGCCTGGAGTAGAAGGGGCCATGGTAGGGACCCCAAGGGGTGGAGGCGAGCGTTGCCTGGTAGTAGGTGACAGATGTTCTGGGTACGCAGAGAAAACCAGGAAGGGGGCTGTGGTCCCTGCCTGCTGCAAGATGGGTGTGTGACTCACTCAGACCCCAGAGCAGAGCTGAGCTAGGGCTCAGAGCATCAGACAGTGGGCAAGGCCATGGGACAGTAGGCAAGGCCACAGGAGAGACAGGTAGGTCAAGGCCACAGGAGAGACAGGTAGGTCAAGGCCACAGGAGAGTCAGGCAGGTCAAGGCCACGGGAGAGACAGGCAGGGCTCAGGAAGTAGGCTCAGAGGCCCAGGTATAAAGAAGCATGGTGTAGCCGGCCCCCTGTGCCCAGGCCTCATGGATTGACCATACACCCCACAGCAACAGCCACTGCAGACGGATGCTGACATCTTGCCGGAGTGGGTGAGGGAACCCCGACCCCCGGTCCTGAGGCTGTACTCACCTCCTGGGCTCTGGCCCGAGGTCTGGGCCCACCGTGGACTGGCAGCTGGAGGTCGAGGCACAGAGCGAATGCTGGGGTGCAGGCAGGCGGCGGGGCAGCTCGCAGTAGGGCGCCTCTGCACTCGGCGGGCTCGAGGGCTCCTGGAACTGAGTCGGAGACCAGAGACAGCTCAGCGCCCACGTGGGGGCTGCCCTCCCCCTGCAGGGCCCCTCCCCCACCGGGCAGGCTGGGAGGTACAGACATCTCCTCCAGGATCTCACACTTCCCGGGGGCCGGCCGTCCATCGGGCCCCTGGGGAACCACACCGGGGCTGCGGGGTGCATGAGTGTGTGTACACACATGTGTGAGTGTGTGTGTGTTCACACCTAGGCTGGTGGGTGGGCTTGTGAGCACACTAGTGCCCGTATGTGCTTGTTTGGGGCACATGTGTGCACATGGGTGTTGTGTGATGTGTGCACAGATACAGGCGTGCAGCAGTAGTGCATGCGTGAATGTATATGTGCACATGTGCACGAACGTTGATTTGCATGTGTGTGTTGGTATGTTGGTATGCTTGAGGATGCCGATTGGGCAGAGGACCCCAAAGGGTATTTTGTAGCCACAAGGAACAAAGTAAAAAAATGAAGGAGAGGAGAGGGCACAGCTGGTCAGCAGCAGGAGGGGGTGTGAGGGAGGAGGGGACGTGAGAACAAGGCCTTGAAGGAAGAGACTCAGCACTAATGAAACGGAGGGTCCCATGGCAGTAGGTCAAGGTCAAGGGTGAGGATGGGCTGGAGAGGCCACCGCTCCTGTGGCCCTCCCGCCATCAGCAGGACCACACCTGCTTGCCATGGCTGGTGCCTGGTTCACCCAGGGGGGGCACGGCTGCTATCTCTGGGAAGGCCCCCCCATTCCTCCCCACGCTCCCAGGTGGCAGAGCCCTCGCCTGGTGGTGGGAGACTGCGGCCAGGGCACCCCGTGCCCCGCCTCCTCTCGGGTTACCTGGGCAGCGGGCTCCCGTGGTGGCGGCTGGCGGCTGTCAGCACCCTCGTCCCCGGGGGGCTCCGGCTCCGGCCCCCAGGCTGCCGCCCTCCCAGGCCCCGACTCCAGGCCACGGTGGCGAAGGCAGAGGCAGCGGAAACCTTAGAGGGGCCTGCCGCGGGAGCAGGGGCCCCTCATTACTGTTTCATAAGCCCGGGCCCAGCCAAGAACAATGCAGGACATGAAACCACAGGAACCCGATCTGTCCAGCTCACCTGAGAGGCGGCGGGCGGGCGGGGGCCGGACCCGGGGCTCCCTGGGGACCATGCAGCCCAGGGCCGAGGCCAGAGCCTGGCCAGAGCCCTAGGGTGGGCTCGGCGCTGTAGGTTCCAAGAAGGCCACCTCTGGCAGGGTCCACACAGGGTCAAGGAGAAAGGGCCCAGTGGCTGCGGCACCAGCCAGGCTGGAGGAGGAGACCCGCTGGGGTTCAGTTTCGCCCCCTGCCCTGAGCCAGATTCTGATCAGAGCTCGGCAGCAGGAGGTGTCAGATCCGAGGCCTGCCTGGCGTCTCGGCTGCCCTGGGGACCTCACAGTGCGAATGAGGAGGGAGTGTCTCCTGGGCATCACAAAGGGGTCTCAGCCCTAGATATGCCCCCCCAGCCTGCAGCAGCCCCTTGTCGCTGCCTGCAGCCCAGCCCCGTCGCCACCCACTTTTAAGAGGAGGTCCAGCAGTCAGTCCTCAGCTCTGATTTCCTATCTGGCGGGTCAGCACAGACCTCAGGCCCAACCCTGCCGCCTCCACTTCCCAGCCGGGTGACCTCAGCTGGTGGCGTCCTCTCTCCAAACCTTGTTTGCTCCTCTCTAAAGTGGAGCTGGAACTGAAAGCAAGACACTGGACAAGCGACTTCTATTTGGACCTCAGCTGTCCCTTTTACTTTAGGGAGATGACAAGAGGGTGCACCCCTCCCCCGGGATGCTAGGGGAGGCCGCTGTCATTGCCATTGTCATTGGCTGCATCAAGTTGGCCCTAATTCACAATGACCTCATGTGCAACAGATTGACGTGCTGCCCAGTCCTGCACCGTCCCTGGGGCTCTCATGCAGACAGCAACATTGTGAACTGTAAGGTTTCCATAGCAGACCACCAGGCCTTTCCTCCTCGTCCATATTAACTTAAAAGTTAATAAGCCCGTTCAGCATCAGAGCAACCTTAGAGCAAACCTCTGCCGGCCGATGGGTAGTGACTATACATGAGATGCATGGTCAGGAATCGAACCTGGGCCTCTGACATGGAAGGCTAGAATTCACCGATGCCCTCTGCTGTGAGAATTTACAGGCCTGGTGTTTGTAAAAGGCTTTAGACAGTGCTTGGCGTATCTATCTTAAACATGGTAAATAAAGTAGACATGTTAAATAGAATTTTACAAATGCAAAATAGATAAAATAATGTTAACTGCAACTCAGAACAAATAAATCGAAAAGGGAAGTGAATATGGCTTTTACACCATGGCCTATGTGGACCCTCCAGCATTCGGCCATGACCTACTCAAATTGTGTCCAGAGTTAGCTGACAGCAGAGCAGGGGAGATTCGAACTGGGCTCCCCATGGCATTCTGGTGATCACCAGCTCAACCTTCATGAGCCGCTAGGACCCAGGGCCATGTCTGCATATTCTCGGGTCAGTGAAGTTGTCATATTGGATCCAATTCTGTAACAAGAAACCTAGCTCAGGAGCCCCAAGCCTGTTTTCCAACATATTGATCCTGACTCCACATGTCTCCAGGGACAGACGGGTCCCCTCAGAGGAGAGAAGTCTGTTTCCTAGAGACTGGCTTCTGCTGAGAGTGGGAGAGAGTGGCGCAGAGCAAGCTGGGCGCCCCAGCAGGGCAGCCACTCTGGGTCTTCAGGAAAGCAGCAGGGACAGATCCACTCATCCACCCATCCCTACCCACAGAGAGCCTGCTGTCTGCTGCCAGATCCCAGGAGGAGTCCCCGGTGACCGCAGGGTGGACAGGGAGGAAGTGGTCGTCACCCTCTGGGGTGCACATTCCGGAGTCAGAACAATCCCCCAAACAGCATCTGGCTCTAGGGTCTGGCCAAGGGGTAGAACAGTCGCCCCGCATAGCCCACAGGGGGCGCTGAGCAACTGGAAGTTCAAAGAAGCAAAGGCTTTGACAAAGGATCTTCATGAAGGAGACCTGGTTTGGGCTGAGAACAGAGAGGTGGACCTCTGCACAGAAGGATGCGTCAGGTTTGGGCTGAGAACAGAGAGGTGGACCTCTGCACAGAAGGATGCATCAGGCTTGGGCTGAGAACAGAGAGGTGGACCTCTGCACAGAAGGATGCATCAGTCCGCTCCCATTAAGATTTACAGCCTCAGAATCCCCGGGGGCTGCTCTGCTCTGTCCTACGGAGGCTGCTAAGGGTCAGAATGGATCTGACAATAGTGCGTTTGCTTTGGTTGATCTGGAAACACTTCTCAGGTTGACTTCGGGAAGCCAGAAGGAGATACTGGGACACTGTTCTCTTTCCACTCAAACTTGAGCTTCTCCTGACAGTCCCTCTTCCCCAGGTCACACTTCACTCTTCTCTACAGATGAAGGCTCAGACCTGAGGGTCACGTTAGTCAGAGCCAGATCCCCATGGCCCTCAGGACTCTGTTCCTCACATCCTCAGCAGCCTCCCCTCATCTCCTCTGGGGTCTCCCTTCGGACTGCAAACAGCTAACAAGCTCAGCTGCTCACTGAGAGTTTGAAGGTCTGAGTCCAACAGCTGTGCCTCAGAAGAAAGGCCTGGTGATCTACTTCCAAAAAAATCACACACAGAAAAACCCTATAAAATGCAGGGAGCAAGGGAGCCCTGGCGGCCTAGTGACAAGAAGCTGTACTTAAATGCCAGAGGTATGCAGTTCGAATCCACCAGATGCTCTGCTGGAAAAGGAGGGGCAATCTCCTCCTGTACCAGTCAAGTCCAATTTGATGGTATACACACACAAAATAATAAAATAAAATAAAAACTTTAAAAAACCTAAAACGTAGGGAGCAGTGAGTTCGTGTTACTGGAAAAGGAATAATCCGGAAAAGGAGTGTGGGAACAGTCGGACAACATGAAGTGTCACTGAATCCTACATGTAGGAATTGCTGAGTTGGTGTATGTTTTGTTATGTAAATTCTTGAAAACAATAGAAACAATAATATGGATTCTTGAAAAAAATAATGCCATGAAGTACACAGTTCTACTCTATTTGGCAGTACACAGGGAAATACCAAGAGCTGAAGTCAACTCAAAGGTAACTAGTTTCATTTCCACTGGAGTGTCTTATGCCTCAAACTTAAAACACCCCAAATAAGTCTCCTAGAACTTACTTAGGAGTTAGCCATAGGCTTCCCAATGCATTGTCCCACTTTTAGATGCATGTTGTTGTTATTGTTATGTGCCATCAAGTTGCCTGCAACTCATAGCAAACCTATGTACAATACTGAACCCTGACCTACCCTGAACCTACCCCCATTATCCCAGTTATTATGTCAATCCATCTCATCTGAGTTGTTCCTCGCTTTAGCTGTTCCTCCACCCTTCCACCCTTGATGGTCTTCTCTAAGGACTGGTCCCTCCTGGCCATGCAAGCAGTCGAAAAATACCATGACTTTTATCTGGTGCACTTTAGTCTTTCATCTGACATCCTTGCTCTTTAAGACTTTAATTTCTTTACATGAGAGGTTTGTCCAATGCAACTCATCTTCTGTTTTCTTGACAGCTGCTTCAGTGGGTGTTGATTATGGATCCAAGTCAAGTGAAATCACTGACAACTTCAATCTTTTCTCCATTGATAACACTGCTTGTTGTTCAAGTTGTGAGGATTTTTGTACTCTTGGTGTTGCGGGATGATCCATACTAAAGGCTGTCGTCTTCGCCTTCTTCAGTAAGCGCTTCAAGTCCGCTACACTTTGAGGAAGTAAGGTTGTATCGTTCCAATACACAGGTTGCTGATGAGTCTTCCTTTAATCGTCATCCCATGTTCTTCCTAGTTCTCGGATTATTGGCAGAGCACACAGAATATGTACGGAGAAAGGCTACAACCTTGACACACATCTTTTCTGATTTGAAGCCATGCAGTATTTCCTTGTTTTGTTCAAAAGACAAGTTTGTCGGTTCATGTACAGGTTCCGCTGATGCCAGCCATCATTTTTCATAGGATTATAAAAAAAATCATAAAAAATACAAATCTGTGACTTCCCTGTTTAAACTCTTCCGTGGATGCCCACAACTCTGGGCAAAGCCCTCAGGATGGCTGAGGCCCCACCCATCTGCATCCTCTTCCCCTGCAGCTCCTCTGCCCCTCTTTGCTGGCCCTTCTCCAGCCCTCCATATGCCTCTTTACGGAGCGCCTCCTCCTCCCTCCCCCAACACCACCGGGCCAGTGCCTGCGTGACCTTCACCAGGCATCTGAAAGGCTGTTCCCCTGGAGAGATCTTCTCGCATCATTTGTCCTTTCATTTACCTCTGACCCCATCTGCTCTTTATTCCTTTACAGCACGTATCATGACTCTGATTAGATCATTGTTTGTATGGTGATTTCCCCATCACCCCACTCCTTCCCTTTCTAGACCACAAACCCCCATGGAGGCAGGGATGAGTCGTCTTCCTCACGTCTCACCCTTTCGCTGACAACAGACACAATGTCCTCATTCAGCATGTGCTGAATACATCAAGCTGACTGAGGTCTTAAGTTTAGGAAGGGTGGAGCTGAGACTGTAACCCCCATCTGTCCCCATCTAGGATTCCCTTTCAGTCTGTGCTTGCAGGCTTCTTCTCCATTGGGAGAAGGGTCATTTATAGGAGATGAACCCACCAGGACATTTAGGCATCCACTCTCTGAACGTGGAGGTTGGGATGAAGGAGCTGTTATCAGAGGTTTAACAATATACCTACTGTTGCTGTTGTTATGTGTCGGTGAGTTGACTACTCATAGTACTACTCATACCCTATGCACAGTAGTTCTGAGCCCGGCTCTATCCTGAGCCAATCTCACTGTCTCTGCCACACCGGCCCTCATGACCCCAGTGATGGTGTCAAGCTCTACTATTCTACATCCAGTTTGGGGGGGAGTGTCTAGGGGAAAAGCTTTTGATTGGTTGCACAAGATGCAACCATTTGTCTCTATTCATCTGGAGCAAATGCGAATGGAGGAAATTGAAGACTCAGAAGAGAAACGGGTCCCCAGGACTAACCATACTCATACTAACCATAACCTCTTCTAACCTGAGACCAGAAGAAGCCAGTGGTACGCAGTCAACCAGAGCTGGTGATACCACAGATGGTACCGGATAGGATATGAGGTGGGAGATAAAATTCCAGAACACT